TCGCTGCTAGCACCATTGCGCTCGCCAGCGACGTGACTCTCCACCTTGGACCGCTGGTGGCCGTCCTCCTCGAATTGGACGATAGCGCGGGCCTCGCTATTCCCGGGCTCCCCAACGGCACCATCTTGATCAAGAGCAAGACGGTCGCCATCCCGAGCCAAATGCGGGGCAAGGAAACCAGATGGAGGGGCAAGCCGGGTTTTCGGCGGGTTACCCATAGAACAGGACCTCTTTGTACGCCGGCCTTCGCCATGACAGATCAGAAGAGCCAGGGAAAACAATTCTCGGACGTCCTCGTCAACCTCAAAGGCGTCACTTTGGCGGCACAGCGACTCGACCCAGCTTCATGAGCCTGTACGTGCAGCTGTCGAGGGCGCAGAGCTGGGACGGGCTGCATCTGTTTCGGAAACCGGCAAGCAGTGACTTCATCGAGCCGAAGAACGTGCTTGATAAAGTCATGAGGGACGCCATCCTCAAGCTAGAACGACAGGGTGACGGAGACCAGACGGCGGTTCGAGCAAGACCACAGGCACGAGTCGTGGTTTCAAGAATGGGCTGCCATGCCTGAATCTGGCCAGGGTACTGAAACCGATGACGTAGAGGACGCGGCGCTCTGGCGAGACCCTGGGGTTTCTGAGCTCAGATCGTAGCACAGATCTCCACCGTTGCTCTGTTTTGGAGCTCTTTTCCAGCGGAATAAGCTGCTTCAATTTACATTTTCCTTCTCACCTCGTTGCCGTGTTGCCCTCTGAAGCCCTTGTAAACCGGGGGCGGCCCCACAGCTGATAGGCCGTCGAGGCCCCAACAGACCGTCCGTGCACCACCACTGCCAAGCCCAACTTCGAGACACTCATCGTCAACGGCCAGTTCCTCCGGGCAAAGCAACATGGCTGCTTCCACAATCGTTAGGATAATGACATTAAAACTTCACAGTTTACAGGGAGAAATGGCACGGCTTTTTTTGATGGGGCGTTTTATGGGGCGGAAGTGGTCCTGCTTGGAGCATACCATGGTTTTTCTCGGAAAAGGAACCTTTCGGAAGTACTCGTTCCTCGTACGTTCCTCCAGGCAAATCTGTGCTAGACGCGGCCGGTAACATCCTTGTTGGACTTAGGACACCCGTGGCTTGGAGTCACAGTGGTAGGAAGAAGATTGATGTTACTGGTTTGAATTGTATGGTGCGGCCCTGTTATTCGGGAAAATGATAGCTTGTTTTCGTTGCCCCTTTTTTCTTCCTTCGGTAGAGGGATGATGTGAGCGGTTGGGATGACTGCGGCCTAGATGGGTGTTCCCAAAAAACAATAAGCAGTATTTACAGTGTAATTCTTCAAGGGGCGCGGGTCCGAGTTCGCGCGCCTCGGATCCTTCATAACCATCCTAGACATCATTTCGACATTAGACATTTCTACATCATGTATCGTAGGATGTAAAGATAAATGTAAGATAGAACCAATATCCTGGGAGCCAAATGGGACTTAGCAGCTCTGGCCTAGAAGTCCACCCCTAGACTATCCCGCTACTACTTTGCTCCTACTCATCAAGGATATACCTAGGGCAATATCGACGTTCTCTCAGCAGTACATCTCCTCCTCACCACGCCCCAATAGATCCACCCGTCCGCCTTTCTGGCCCTACAAACAACTAACAGTGCCGCCCCCTCTATATCCGAAGTATCGGACTCAAAACGGAAATTGGCTCCCGTTGGGATAGTGTATCATACTTGACTTGGCTGGCCAATTTCAGGACATATTTTTAGAACATGACCCGTGTGTGCATCTCTAGGAATCTAAGTAAGCTAGTAACAGGGGCTCTCTGGTAGGAAGGTTATTGAAGGCGGTAGGCGCAGAACGGGCTCGAGGAAGCCGAATGCGCGTCGTGATTCGAGAATGTTCGATCTCCCTTCCTTCATGCTATTTTGCTAATTTACCAAGTGACCACCCGGCCTTCGCAAAGCTCCTGGTCGAGGCCGGTATCAATTCGATTTCTGTCAGCCCGGATAGCTGTCTTGCCGTGAAGGAGCACGTGGTTGATGCCGAGAGGGCATAATTATCAGTGTACATCATACATGTATATGCCGTGGGCTTTGCTAACGTTATATATCTTTACTATGACGACGTGGTAATTCGCTAGTGGGTATGCCGCCGAGACTTCATGTCCGTGGACAAGAATGTGTACCTATCTTACTTACCTTTTGGGACGCGGCGGTCCGATGTGGGAAATCTCTCAATGGAAGATCTCTCAATGGGAATTACATAGGTAGTATAGGTATTCTACTTCCACAAAAGCTACGAATCCCCTCACAGCACCGCCCCCTCAATATCCGCCGCCGAACTCATCCCCACCACCTGCGGCACCCCCTCAATCGGCCTCTGCCACGCGGCCCTATTCTCCACAAACTGCTCGACCTGCGGCCTTAACTTCGTCTCCGCCAACGAGAAGTCGTCCACCGTCCCCGTGCGCAGGATGGACAGGCCCGGGAACTTCTCGCCGACGCGGTACATAAGCGTGCCGCACGTGGCGCAGAAGTAGTTGGTCATGAGGCCACCGGAACGCACCGTCGTCGACTGCGCAAAAGTCCTGAGCTCGGCGCGCCCCCGCACGTGCCGCAGGTGCGTGTCCGCCACGGTGATGTTGGACATGTACAGCCCGCTGCTGATCTTGCGGCAGTCGCTGCAGTGGCAGACGTGTCGGTTGATGAGGCCGGGGCCTTGGATGGGCTGGGTGGGTGTTAGAGACATATTGGAAGGAAGGTTTGTTTGTGTTGGCTCAGGAAACGGGAGGACTCACGAAAACGAGTTGGACTGCTCCACAGAAGCAAGTTGCTGTGGCTTCCTCCTCGGTTGACCAGCCGTCACGGGCGAGGCCGGCAACAGGAAAATTGGGATCTGTAGCTGCCATAGCTTACTCTCTTAAATCAACGATATGATGGGAGGTGTAAACGGTTCGAAGAGGTGTTGCGTGGAACAATACTAGGAAACGTTGGTGAACCCTGGTTTGAAATACGTGAGGATAGTCTATGGTTTGTTTTGTGTCCTTTTTTAAGTATATTTATAAAAAAAGAACGCAGGTAGTTATGCAGCGTCTTGTGACGTTTATCATTCCGTGGTGATGAAAAGACCGAGATAGATATCCATGATGTAATACGTTGATTGCAAAGCCGGGAGTTGATGAGGTAAGACGCTGCTGCTCACTAGTTAATCATAGTTATGCTATTCTACAATTGGGGTCAACATTCGCCCGCCAGATAATTTATACGAAAGACGGAAACAAAGTGCCTAAGCCAGGCTGCATAGGTATGTACATGTATAGCTCCAGAACCTTCTCAGCATAGAGGCACCGACGAGCCGACTCACAGAAGAATCCGTTGGCAACCATGGATTGACCGGTAGGTTAGAAAGAACTGAATCATATCCACTGAGCTGTCATGCGCAACATCTAGGTATTCTACATCTATTCTACGTAACTAGACACCACCTTGCAGTAATGGAAATTATGTCAAATATCCTTGCTCTGCAAAGGCAAAGAACTCCCTATACACCGTCACATATTAGCTAGTACCCTCCCCAGATCTATCCCCTTCTTCGTCTTTGCCCTCCCTTCCGAGCTCAAACTTGCTCATCCTACACAGTGTATCCCTAATAGCCGGATCCTGCTCCATTACCTGCCACAACTCCACATCCCACTCCTCCAAACACCCCTTATTAATCCCCTCCTCCGACCACCTGGCGCCAGCGCCAAGCGACGGCGACGACCAAAAAGCCGCCTTCCACGTCGACCACCTCAGCCACTTCCAGCCTCTCTTCCACAGGCCCGCCACGATAAGATTGCGCTTGACCGCCTTATAAGCCAGCTCCAGACAGGCCAGCACGCCAAGCGCGCCAAACAGCGCCACCCACCACGCCGGGTCCGGGCCGAATGACGAGAAGAAGCCGTTCTTGACCGCGTACGGCCACACACCTGGGGCGTACGCGCCGGCTAGGAATACCTGCCACACCCACCAGCCGGCGACCGTGATGACGAAGGAGTAGATGACAATGTCGTTCTTGTAGTGCGTGTCCAGGATTCTGCAGCCGATCGGTCAGTCTATGCTCCATGATCCGGCTTCGGTAAGGGGTTAAGGGGTAAGGGTGTAAGAGAATAAGGGGGTGGGCGTGTAGGGGGGGTTACTCACAACAACTTCAAGTTCGTCCAAACAATATTCACCGAGAACACCAAATTCCCCAACGCAAACAACCCCCCATCCCTTACGGGTCCCACGGTGCCATACACCGCCCAACACAAAAACCACACCACCACCCCCTCCCCCGCAGCTGCCACCATCCACGCCACATACATCCCCTTATCCAACCCGCCATCCCTCTGCCCAAAGACATACAACTCCGGCACAGCCAACAACGTCTCCGCCGCCAACTCCTGTTCCCACACCGCCGGCACGATCACACACAAACTCGTAAACAACGTATTCAGCGCCGTCAAACTCCACATCTCATACAGACTCGTCCCCGTATACCCCACCCACCCCTGGAAAACCGCCGTCGGCAGGTAGAACAGCATCTCCTTCCAGAAGGTGGCCAGCACGAAGCGGGCCGTGCGCGCGTAGTTCCAGCGCCCGTGCACGAGGAGCAGGCGGGCCAGGAAGCGGAACTGCGCGATCGCGTAGTCGGCTACCCGCGCGGCTTGCAGGCCCTCGCGGCCGGAGATGCCGACGCCGACGTGCGCGGCGGAGAGCATGGCGAGGTCGTTGGCGCCGTCGCCGATGGCGAGGGTGAGGGGGGTGGGTTGTTGGGTGCGTTGGGTGGGGAGGAGGTGGTGCAGGCGGTGGAGGAGGGGGGGGTTGGTAGAGGTGGTGGTGGAGGCGTTGCGGACGGCGTGCACGAGGAGGGCTTTTTGAGCGGGGGAGGCGCGGCAGCAGATGACGGAGTCGATGGTGAGGATGAGGCGGTAGAAGGCCGTTTTGGCGGTGGCGGAGGTCGGTTCCTCGAGAGCGGCCAGGGTGTGCCCATCGATAACGATTACTGTGTGGCCAGCGGCTCCAGAGGCGTTCGTTTCGGCTTGGATCTGGAGGTCTTCCATGATGGTTAGGATCTGACCTTCTAGGCCGCCCTTGGCAGCATCCAGAACGAAGATGTCAGACCCGGGCAGGCAGATGCGCGCCGAGTGGGCGATGTTGATGGCTGTTTCCCGCTTGTCCCCAGTAAGCATCCAGATCTTGATGTTTGCCCGCCGGAGCCGATCTATCGTTTCGGCAACGCCGGGCTGCAGCTGATCCTCGATGCCGGATGCGCCGATGAGGTCCAGAGACTGTTCAATCATCTCCCCTGTGGCTTCGATTCGGTCTTGACGATCCACTAAGCTGGTCTCCGCTTCACGGTACAACTTCTTCCAGTTGTTGTACTCCTGCTCGCCCAGGAACCGGTGAGCGAATAAAAGCGTTCGAAGTCCTTCAGTAGCGAAGTCGTCGATCTGTCTAAAGCAGCGGGTGAAGATGGCGGCATCATCCGACAGGGATGGGTCTTCGAGGAATTCAAACTTGCTCGGCACTGCCTCCGGCTCCGCGGATGAGATCCTGCTTGGGGTCCGGCGAGCATCAAACGAGGCTGTGCGAGCGTTAAGTGAAGGACGAGAGCGGAGACGGGCAATAGGGTCAAGATGAGCAACCTCAAACGACTTGCTCCTGCTGACATCTAGTGACGTGCTTCCAGGGACGGCCAAGAAACCCTGTCTGGTGAGGGCGAGGCTGCGCCTGATAGTGAGGCTGGGCCGCCCACCAAAGCTGTTGCGTGGTTCTTGAGCCTCGCTTTTGCGCCGCATCTGATGCTCAAAGTCAAGGCTTTCGCGTAGTTCCTTGGCCTTTTGTGTTGCCAGGTCTGCCATTCTCAGGCGCGGGAGAATGGCCGAGTCAGCGCCTTTTGTCAAGAGCCAGATTCTTCCGTCTGGGCAGCGTACGATGATCGACATGCGCTTACGTTTACTGCTGAACTCGAGCACATCGAGGATCTGGTAGGTATGGTCTGTATTACCATAGCTGGCGGTGATTCGGAGAGTCACGGCTTGTGCGGTCCGTTGAACTACTAGAAAGCCGAGGTCCTGAGCCGCTCTTACGAGGGCAAGCTCATCTGGTGAAGCGGCCTGGAAGTCGACCTTTCCGGCCTTTGTTTCAGGAAGACAAGTATGGCAGAGTGCCATTACTAGAATGTATTGGGTAGCACGCCTCGAGAAACCAGAATTGGGACGTAGCCAAATGTACTCCAGGAGATCCGATGTGGTTAAATCTGGTTGTAGATGGTCAGGTCGGCCCGTTGACCGCCATTGGGAGGAGGAACGGCGGCTAGCAGGGGGGCGATTTGGTGTCGGGGGAGATAGAAATCCTGAAAGCCTGCCGCCGGCAGTTGGCGCCTCCGAGGGCTCGAGTTTTGTCTCCAAGCCCTGTTCGTCACCGTCCCGAGTCTCCCTGATATCCGGCGTGTCGTGTCGTTTAGCAAAGTCGGTCTCGTGCAACCAAGCAGTGCCTGCCACGCTCATCTTGCGAAACCTCATCACATTTTCCGTCAACGTCCCCGTTTTGTCTGAAAACAAGTACCCAACCTGGCCGAGGTTCTCGAGGATGGTGTTCGTGTTGCATCGTGCCGGGGTATCCGATGCCTCGTCGTACATTTCGATATCCGAGTTCAGCAGCAGCATCTGGCAGATCTTGACAATCTCCAGACTCACGTACAGAGCCAAGGGAATGACATTGTTGAACTGGATGGCATAGCCCACGATGATGTGCGCCAAGGGGACCGGGATATCACGCAAGTACCACGCAGCTCGCTCGTAACTGTGCTGCCAGAGGACGTAGCCCCCTGACAGGCCAGCCACGAGGGCAATGAGGTAAATGACGAGGGCGATGACAATCATGTTGGCCATACGCTCGAGAGCAGGCTTCTTGGCACTCGGGTGGCGATTAGCGTTCCGTCGGATTTTGGTCTCCTCCCCGGTGTTGATAACCATCCCGATGACGCTCGCAGTATTGCGGATGGTGCAGCCCCGGTACACGACTTCGTTCAACGTTAGAGGCATCGTTTCCCCGTCTACCGTGACCCGGCCGTCGAAACGATATAGATCCGGGTTGGGGTCCTCAATGACAAATTCGGCCCCACAACTGCAGAGACCCTCGACAGAATCACACCCCTTTAAGGTTACCGATACTTGCTTGCTCTTGAGATTTGTCTCGCCGTCAAGGGCCATGGTCTCGACATAAGCCAAGCCTTCCTCGCCCTCGGCGTGCAGGAGCACAATGTCGGCCGGTACGTCGTCGTCTCTCGTCAGCTTGACAACATCTCCAACCTGAAGATCCTGCCACTTGATCGTTCGCCATTGCAGCCCGAGGTGAGAAGTCCGCCCCGTTTCACACCGTTCCAGAGCCCTGGCCTCGTCGTCTGTTGATGTGGCGCCCAACAGCGACCGCCACCGCTTGCTCCCTCCACCGGTCTCTCTGCTTCTCAGGACGGTCGTTAACCTTGCATTCTCGACCTTGTCAAGGCGGTGCCTCCGCCAGTCATCGTAGCCCTCTTTGGCAATGGTAAGGAGGACGAAAAACAACAGCGGTAGTATGGTGGTGAAGTTGCCAGTGGTGCTAACACCGGGGATGGTCTGCGGGATGCCCACACAGAGGAAATAAAAGTTGGCTAGGCGTGTGAATTGGAAGAAGAGCTGCTTCGGAAAGAAGTCATAGAGAGTGTAGCGTGAGGTCCGTATGGAGTTGGAGATGTAGGGATATCCCCGCCTTTCGTCGATGAATGGCTCACTGCGGTCCGGCCGCAGGGGTATGCATCGCCCGTCCTTGGATGGCGGAAGAGACTCGTGGTGGAGGATAAAGTCGACGAAGATTCGACGGCACCACTGGCGGGCTGCAGTTGCGAGTTTGACCGCCTTCGGTGTCGCGGGATTCCCGGACAGAGGAGAGGTGGCGGTCGGGGTTTTGTTGAGATGGACGCCCTTATTCCCCCCGGCTTCCCCGGTCTCGACTCCATCAGCACCACGGCCGTCCATAATGCCTTAACCAACAAAGCATTGTCCAACAGAATCAATGCCTCGGCTGGCCGTTTCCGTACCTACCGAACGGATATTAGTGGACAGTGCAAGTCGACGAGGTGGTTGGCATCAACAGTCCAAAACCCATGAGTAAGCAACATGGCACCCAAAACCAAGTCAAGCGAGTGATAAAAATAATTGTAGATGTAAACCAAGACCTATTGGTGTCAAAAACGTTACCGGCATGAATATGTTGACCTGACTGGACGCGATGTTGAAAGAGGGAAAATCGCCGAGCTCCAAGCGAGCCGTGCCAGGTTTCGTGCCTGCATCTCTTTTGTGCATGCCAATGCCATGCCCAGTGGAGACGAACCGTGATGAGATCTTCTGCATCTATTGGCCAGTCCGTTGGCCAAGGTCGGGACTCGGAATGAATATTCCTAGGCCCGGAAATAACCTGTGAGTACTTTGTACCTCGAACCTGCTGTTTGGTGAGAACAAGAATCAATTCAACCTCTGCTCAATTGGGGACGCATGTGGTAGTCGAGAGGCAAAGCGATCAACGCGCCCAAACTTGTTTGCGGAACAGGCGGCGGACGAATCCTTCGCCACATAGGGCAGATTATGGATGAAGGGAGCGTGGGAAAGGGAAGCAGATGTTGGGATGTTTCGATCCCAGGTGCTACGGAAGTAACGAGATGTTTTTAGCTTTCCAGACCAGCAGCGTGAAAATTATTCACTGCTCCGCAACAACCCCCCCATTTCTGCATGGTGAACCTGGTTTGTTGTGTCATTGCCTGCCTATTACAATGTCATCCTGGTGTACCTGTCATCGTGGTGCCCCATTCTCGTTGTTACTATGATAGTATTTGAGTGTATTCTGACAACTGAGCTGTGAGTTTACATGCACCATAAGCTCTCGATCTACCAACATTCCTCCCCCGGTAATTCCACACATTGCACACTATCACCCTGATCGGCACGTCAAACCGCAACTGCATCATCAGTCGCTGGCGTGGCATGCATCCCTAGCCGCTTCAGCTCGAACATGGCGTCCTCCAACACGGCCAGCTTCTCGGCAGCCTGAGTCCGCTCAGCCACCGACTCTGGGCTCTCGCTCGCGATGCGCTGGACGGCATCATCGGTGAGCTCGCACACAATTTCTGGGGAGAGGATTGCCGAGAGCTTCTGGAGCAGGCATCGTGTGACGAACCTACTTCAGGACCCTGTCCTGTTAGGGTTCAGCTTCGGTTGAAGGTAATCTCTCAAGGGTGCTTAGGTTCGGTGCAGCCAAAGGGTGCACAACAAAGACTTGTCTCAACAGTGGGCTTCGAGCTTGTAGCGAACTGTAGTTGTGATTGCTAACTGGAGAACTCCCAGAGCTCTCCAGAACGGGTGACTATATACTATCTAGGCTTCCTAGGTACCGGCGTACCTTTTGCTGGGAACGTGAGGAACGGTGATCGTTCCTCTCGTTCCAGACTGGATCCTGGGAACGGTAGCCGTTCCCTTCGTTCCTCTGCTGATTGGTCTGAGACCCATTCTTAATGATTGGCTGGGAACGCTTCCCGCGCGTGCCCTCATCGGGGTGTGGTACGCGACCATAACCGTGACACATCGTTCGACCACCAGTGTGCTGATTGCATCGACAAGCGATTTGAGCGCGACCTAATCAGGATTGAACTCGTCTCAGCGAGATTGTTTCTACTCACAATTGCCACAGGGGGAGATCTCACCTTGTAGTATGCCTCCATTGTATCCACTGCCATCGTGCAGGAATACGTATCCATGTCGGGCTCTGTGTTGGTGGTCAAGTCGTTCAGCAAAGAACGCATATTAAACGTGTGGCTCGTCATGCTAGCGGGGATTTGGCTAGAAGAGAAGAACGACTTTAGGCGGGCCTCCATTTGGTGGCGTCTACGCTGGGCCTGTGCTTTCTGCACATTCTCGGTGAGATAGTGATTGTACGTGATGGGATGGCCTGAGAGGTGTGGCTCCAAAATCTCATCCGCCTTGTTGCTCAACCCCCTCTTGATGATTTCCATCGAGGGCTTGACGACAGCGCGGAGGAGTGACTCGGTAGTCTCCCCATCAGCAACATAATGGAGAGCATTCTCGACCATCCTAGTGGCTGACTGGAAGGTGCGCTCGAGAAGGTTGCGCATCATGCCCTGCCAGGGCTTGCACTGGTTGCTGAAAAGCTCGGCGACAATGAGCGGATTATAGGTGCCAGGAAGTTCGCGGCCCTGGCTCTCCATCATCAGTTCCTTGACCTGGGCAACGTAATCCGACCGAGAAATGGAATCTGACTGGCATCCATCACCAGGCTTCTTAGCGGTGGGCCCATCGACAATCGTGGTGGCGTGACCTTTGAGACGCATGTCCTGGGCAAAGTCGGACAAGGTGTTCTGAATGACGGCGCGAAGGCGCCTGTCCTTGGACGCCTTGAAGAAAACATTGGTATACACGCCATCGACGGCTGCCTTCACAAGCTCCGAGAACCCAGCGCTGATCTTCAGAAGGTAACCGCGCTGCTCTGAAACAGTGGCTCTGGAAGCCCCCAGCTTTTCCAAGGTGTGCTTGCACTCAACAATCCCGGCGCTGACGTTCTCGATGACGCTGGGGAGCTGCCAAAGGATCTGATCCCGCAAGACGTGACTCAAGCGCACACGGAGAGTGGCGACGCCGAGTTGCGACGGCTTTAAGCACCTCCAGACTCCCTTGGCGAAGAAATCAACTTCGGCGGCATCACGAGCAATCGTTGACTCATTGCGTTCAGCGAAATTCCGGTTCCGCAGGACATGCCAACCCAAGCGGAACTTTGACGTCCTTGTTTTGGGCGAGTTTCACATAGAACCGTTCGCTATCGGATCCTTGGTCTAAAGTATCCGGCTTGGTGATGAGACCGAGGGTACGAATACCGTTGGGATCCAGAGCCCTGGCGTGCAGTGTGACTTGTTGAAGGGCGAAGTCGTTCTTGGCCGAGACGACGGCGAGGATGATGGTGCGGGGGTTCTTCATGTACGACAATACAAGGTTGTTGACAAGCGCAGCATCTTCCTCCGATTGGTCCTTGTTGCCGGCAAGGAACAAGCCGGGAAGGTCAACCATGGTGAGATGCGGTTGTGATGGCCCTGATACCTCCACACGAAGAACGTCGGTACTGAAAACCTTGTTGGTTCCGTTCAAGCCCATGGAATTCTTGGCTTGTTCAACAACCTGGCCAAGGTCCAACGGAGTATGCCAGTGTATTTGAACTTCATAAGCGTTTTCTTTTTTTCTTCAGTTTGCTCCGAGCCCGGAACGATGCTGAGATCGATGCCGGTGGTCGGGGTTCGCCGCAGGATGAGCTCAGTCGCAAACCGGGTGCAGAGGTTGTCCTTCATGGGGAACGACATACCCGAGATGGCTTCGAGGGCCGAGCTCTTGCCAGATGACTGCTCTCCGCAAACGATGATCTGGGGCAGATCAACATATCGACTTAATCCTTGCAACCGCAGACGATCAATGACATCGAGAAGGTCGCGGTGGTCCTTGGACTGTAGGAGAGTCTCCTTGCCCCGCAGAGGGCTTTGCACGTCGCCGTTTGCAACGCTGCTCGGTGCATCGCTCGATGCGGTGTTCGTTGCCGCCATGTTTGTGATGTAGTCGCTGGCTACAAGGTGATTGTTGAGAGTTTGGTATGGAGAGAATGTAAGGGAAAGTGAAGAGAGCTTGGTCTGGAGAGGATGTTAGGGGAAAGTGAGGAGAAGAGAAGAGAACTGGTAAGTGTTGACACCTAGAATTCAGTACAAGGAAGGTTCGAAAGACAACTTGCATGACACTGTTTGAACACAAGTGCTCGCAGTACTGTGCTCTTGTTTCTAATTCGATCCACTGAAAATAAATTCAAACAAAAGGTGCTTGTCTACCTAACCTAGAAAGTGATCAGGCTGTGACGCCACCGCTAGCAGCAATATACTGCCCTGTAATCCATCTCGCAGCATCGGAGACCACCAACAAAACAGCATCCGCTATCTCCTCCGGGTCCCCGGCGACTTTGCCGAGTCTAGCTCCAACAGCTAGTTTCTGGGAGACTTCATCCCTGAGGTCGTTTTCGGGAAACCAACTCGCCGCATCTGTATTGGTGGGGCCGGGGGCAACGGTATTGACAGTAATTCCCTGGCGAGGACCCAGCTGGACACCCCGTACCGTCAGCATTGCCTCAGGGCTCTGGAACATGGTTGGACTCACCTCGGCAGCGAGTGCGGCGGTCAGGTACTCCTGGGCGGCTTTGCTGGCACCATACACCCCGACACCGGGCATGTTGTTCATCCGTGAGACGACGGTTCCGATGTTGACGATGCGGCCCCCGGATGGCATGTGCGGCGCCGCGGCCTGGGCGACATACAGAGTGCTGAAGGTGTTTAGGGCGAAAGCCTGCTGCACCTCCTCGGGTGTCAGGTCGACCAGCAACTTGCCCTGACCGGTTCCCGCGCCGGCGTTGTTGACTTTTGGTGGCGGACATGTCAGCACAGGGGGAAGAAACGAGAAACGGGGGATGAGGGGAGACAAACTCAAAATGTCAATCTTATCCGTCTTGAATCCAGAGAGGGTGTCCTTGACGAGCTTGGCTGCGCCCGCGGGAGTGGACACGTCGGCTTGGATGACAATCACTTGACCGCCAGCGGCTTGAAGGTTGGCTGCTACCTTGGCGGCTCGGGGTGCAGAGCTGTCCGATACATAGTTGATGGCCACGCGGGCGCCGTTTTTCGCGAGTGTCAGGGCAATGGCAGCCCCGATGCCGTTCTCACGGCCAGAGCCGGTCACGATGGCAGTCTTGCCGGCGAGGGAGAGAGTGGTGGGAGCCATTGGATGGGTTGGTAAGGGAGATTGGTCTGCTATGGGGTGAGAGTGTTGATATGTTGATGGTGGGATGGTGGTGGGAAGGTGGTATGGTGGGAACGCGGTGTTGGAGTTATCCTGTCCGGAGGACAATATTACGGCCAAACTTTTATACTTCTGAAGCAGCCCTGTGTATACCCTTTACTGTCTACGGTTTTCGGACACTTATCCTGCTGTTGTGGTGCCGTCCCACTTGCTCGGGCGAACTGCCACTCCATCGTTGCCCCTGATGGAATCAACTTGTACAGAACAAGTCAAGTTACCGAGCCCGCGAGTCCTACGTTTTGCTTGCATTTGTAAGGCGGGGCTCGTGATGTTTTTTTCTCCTTCGCTTCTTGGGAAGTGTTGCATGAAAATTGCACCATTTAGAACATTCAAGGCATCCAAACCCGGCTTGGGAGTCCTCATTCGTGTATATCGAGCTCTCGTTTTCCCAATACGGCAGTTGCTCACTCAGCGACACTGGTGCCCAGCCTGAAGTGGGAGCGCGAACAAAGGTTGGATTTGTCACCCGCATACCGCATTGGCGGGCCGGCAGCAGGCCGCCAAAAAATGTCGCCGAACGACAATTTCTTTAGAATCGGGATCCCATCGTTGCCAAGTTGGTAGCGCTAGTCGCCGCCTGACTTCTAGAAAGATACGGTTATCGAAAGTCAAAAAGCGTTGGATACATATTTTCTTCGTTACTAATTGTAAGCGGCAGGCTTCGTCGAGATTTCATTGGATATTGAACTGCAGCTCGGGAAGTTGTGGTTGACAATGACGGCAGCAAGATGCTCCCAGATGAGAGTTACAACAAACTTGGAATCGACGTCGTTTTTTTCCGCGTCCCATGAGAATGAATCCCTTGCATCTTCGCGCGACGCGTTGTCATTTGGCACCACCCGTTCACGTGCTATGGTGGGGCAATCCATGGCACAAGCCTGTTATGTAATCTGACCCCTGCTGCAACTCCAGCCACTCTTTGGCTTCTGGCTGGTCCCTGACCTGCTGCTGTATTGCGGAGCTGTGCCGCTGCTGGCGTCGTCATTCCCACGCACAGCCATAGGGACCGACAAGAGCTTCTTGATCCCACATCGGCACTTCCTTTGCGCATAACCCAGAGTTGTAACCTACCATCCGACATCCACCGTTTTAGCACACCACGGGCGACATTGAAACCAAGGTGGCAACAACACAAACGATACCATGACGACCCCCGCGCCCCCCGAGGACCAATCCCGGCTCCTCGAGGATGCCCTCATTGCCGTGCGCCAACAGACAACATTGATGCGCAAGTGTTTGGATACGCCAGGGAAGTTGATGGATGCGCTCAAATGCTGGTGGGTTCAATTCCATATTTCCTTGTTCTCGAGATTGGCTTTGGAGAGTGGTCTGGGCGGGTCGAGAAGATAACTCGCGCCATCGTGCCGTGGTTGTAACATGGAAGTTGTTGACGCCATCCCTTAGTTCCACCCTCGTCTCCGAGCTTCGAACGAGCAGTCTGGGGCCAAAGCAGTACTACGAGCTGTACATGGCCGTATTCGACGCCTTGCGCTACCTTTCAGTCCACCTGCGCGAGAACCACCCAGTCAACCACCTCGCCGACCTCTACGAGCTTGTCCAATATGCCGGCAACATTGTCCCCCGCCTCTATCTCATGATCACGGTTGGCACCGCATACATGGCCATCGAGGGCGCACCAGTTAAGGAACTGATGAAGGACATGATGGATATGAGCCGCGGTGTACAACACCCGATTCGTGGCCTCTTTTTGCGCTACTACCTCTCGGGCCAAGCCAGGGACTGCCTCCCGTCCGGCGACTCGGATGGGCCAGAAGGAAACCTCCAAGACTCGATCAATTTCGTGCTCACCAACTTTGTCGAGATGAATAAGCTCTGGGTTCGCCTGCAGCATCAGGGGCACTCGAGGGAGAGGGATCAGAGGACACAGGAGAGGAAGGAGCTCCAGTTGCTGGTGGGGAGCAACGTTGTGCGGCTCAGCCAGCTGGTGGATCTGCAGGCATACAAGAATGGCATCCTTGCGCCATTACTCGAGCAGGTTGTCCAATGCCGCGACGTTCTAGCCCAGGAGTACCTGCTCGAGGTCATCACGCAGGTCTTCCCAGACGAATTCCACCTCCACACTCTCGATCAATTCCTCGGTGCCGTCTCGCGGTTAAATCCCCACGTGGATGTCAAGGGAATCGTCATAGGCCTCATGGACCGTCTCTCCGACTACGCCGAGCGCGAATCCCAGAATGAATCGGAGGAGGATAGGGAAAAGATGGAAGAGGAGGCTTTGGCGAATCTCCTCGAGAAAGTTAAGCTGGGTACAGAAATCGCGGCTCAGACCTCAAGCGCGCCCGCCGAAGAGCCGCGAGCTCCTGAAAACGGAGACAAACCCGCGAGTGACGCCGAGCCGACCACAGACACGCCCAAGGCAGAGGACGAGACGACCCCGTCCATAGCAGAAACCGAGGCGACGGCGGTCAACGGAGATGAGACAGAGCCGACCACAAAGCGGAGGGGGATCCCGGAGAATGTACCGCTGTACGAGGTCTTCTTCGGGCAGGTGAAGAACCTCGTTCAGGCGCAACACCTCCCAATACAAGACACCATCGCCTTGTGTGTCTCGCTGACGAACCTGGCGCTTAATATCTACCCCGAGAGGTTGGATTATGTCGATCAGATCTTGGGCTACGCCCACAGCAAGGTCCAGGAGCATGCCAACAGCGCCGATCTGCACTCCCAACCAGCACAGCAGAGCTTGTTGGCACTTCTCCAGAGCCCTCTACGGCGTTATCTGTCGATTTTCACGGCCTTGTCACTTCCCACCTACGTTCCCCTACTCCAATCCCAGACCTACCCCACGCGAAGAGCGGTAGCGGGGTCGGTTGCCAGGACGCTTCTCAAGAACCAAACCTTCATTTCTACACCAGCGCACCTCGAGAATGTCCTTGAAGTCCTCAAGGTCCTCATCAGGGAAGGATCACAACCACCAGCCGGCTATCCCGGTGTCGTACAGCCCCGAGCTCGCGCCCTCGAGACGGACGAAACAATGGAGGAACAAGGTTGGCTGGCTCGCCTTGTCCACCTGGTACATTCCGACGACAACGATACCCAGTTCCGTCTCCTACAAATGACGAGGAAGGCGTATGGAGAAGGCAACGAACGGATCCGCACTACAACGCCGCCACTTGTTACCGCTGGCCTGAAGCTCGCCCGCCGTTTCAAGACCCGCGAGCATTATGACGATAACTGGTCATCACAGTCCTCGGCGCTCCTCAAATTTCTACATTCTGCCGTATCGACTCTGTACACCCGCGTCAACGGTTCGGGCGCCGCCGAACTATCCCTCCGCCTGTTCTGCTCTTGCGGGCAGGTGGCCGACATGACCGGCTTCGAGGAGGTTGCGTACGAGTTCTTCGCGCAGGCGTTCACAGTGTACGAGGAGGCAATCAGTGACTCCAAGGCGCAATTCCAAGCCGTCTGCGTCATTTCCAGCGCGCTCCACCGGACAAGGAACTTTGGCAAGGAGAACTATGACACGCTCATTACGAAGTGTGCCCAGCACGCGAGCAAACTGCTCCGCAAGCCGGATCAGTGCCGCGCCGTTTACCTGGCCAGCCACCTGTGGTGGGCGACACCGATCGCCGCGAATGGGGAGACAGAGGAGACAGAGGTGAGCCCTTGCTAGTCTTTCGTACCGACGTAACTCAAGGTACTAACGTGGGATACTAGCTCTACCGGGACGGTAAGCGCGTCCTCGAGTGCCTCCAGCGCGCTCTCCGCGTGGCAGACTCGTGCATGGAGACGGCCACGTCGATCGAGCTGTTTGTCGAGATTCTCGATAGATACGTCTACTACTTTGACCAAAAGAATGAATCGGTAAGTAATTCCACTGGCAGAAGTGGTTAGTCGTCCCATTTGCTAACATGCTCCGTAGGTCACCACCAAGTATCTTAACGGCCTCATCGAGCTCATCCACTCCAACCTGGCCGGCAATCAGCAGGAGTCGGCGTCCGTCGAGGCCAGCAGGAAGCACTTTATGCAGACACTTGACATGATTCGGAGTAAGGAGTACGAGGGCATTGTTCTTACGCCAAAATAGTTGGTTGCTTTTTTGTTCGTCTGGTGGAGATGGTAATGGATCTGTCTGCAATGGAGTGACAGGGGGCCTCAAGGTTGGTCCTCGCGGACTGGGCGCGCAGGCAGACGAAGATAGGAGAAAGAGATAGCTCCCGCTACACCCGCAATACCGCATGGAGGTATTCCCTGCATGTACATTTACTGTATATATGTACACCTTCCCTTTATGTCTATGTGTCTTATCGGAGTTTGACCAGACGGTTTGTTCCTTTGAGCCAGAAGCCAATATATTGCTCGTTGCTGTCAATGATGTTTCATTTCCGGCTTAGGTCTTCGCCCTTGACGAAGAGCTGTAAGCTGCTCAGGTTGTTCCAGGGAGGGTTCGGGAGGAGCCGGTGAAGGAGGCATACAAGTAAGGTGAACGACGAGCACGCAGGAGGGGGTATTAAAAGGCCGTCACCGCGCAGGTACAACCAGCCCCTGTTCATAGATGTCGACAAATGGAGATCCCCAAGTTTGGAGACCCTGATATTCCACTGAAATAGCCTGGTCCAGGGTGTACATAGACAGACAGCGACAGGCAGGTAAACTACAGCCCATGATGCGACGAGGTCACCGTCGGCGCCCTCCAACAACCCCAAAAAAAAAGGAAATATGATGATGGTGGCCGGCAAGGACCCGAAAACAAGCAGGTAGGTAAAGTGTAAGCTTGATCAAAGCAACCCAATGCGCCGATGCGATGCAAAAAATAAGATGGCAAGAAATCCTCCCCTCTCCTGGTTTACCCTCCCTTCCGAGCTCCTATTTCGGAGCAGTCTAACATATGACTTGACAGTAAAGTAAAAAAAAAGGAGGTACGCAGTGTGAGCGAGTGATGTGCAGGCGGAAGGCAAGCTGAGGCTCATTTCTCCAGGTTAACAGCCGCCTGTGTCAAAATGGCAGCGACGCCGTCCACGGTCAACTGTGCCTCTGTCACGTTGCCGGAGATGATGGCGTCCCGGATAGAGGGGAAGTAGGTTTCGGGGTCACGGGACCAGGCCTGCGGGCCGAACACGACGTGCTTGAACTGCGTGCGGCCGGGTATCTATTCACAAGCTTTATTAGCACAAGAATGGCGGAGATTGTGGGTGAATGACTGGTCAACTTACCCCTGCGAGGTCTAATAAATCTGTCTCAAACTTGCCCATGCGCGCGTTGTAATCGCACCGCCGGCTGCCCAGACCCGACGGCTCCCACCCGCTCGATGCAAGCACACTGTGCTCCCAATTGGCCTCCCATTTGATGAACTCGCGGACTGATTCTATCACCTCCTTGACCGCGAGCTTGAGCTTTTCGAAAGACGGGGCTTTGCCTTTTCGGAGGCCAGCCCAGGACTCAAGTTCTCGGGTCCAGCGGACAAGGTTGTTGGCGTACGCGGGAATATCAAAGGGCAGGATGGGGCGGTTGGACAGCTCCAGAATCAGCAGGCCCAGCACCTGGCCGAGGAGGTCGTGGTAGATGAAACCGGGGTCGCCGACGTTGTCCATCCAATGGAAGTTCTGGTGGATGGAGCGATGAGAGGACTTGTCGCCGCCGAAATGGATATCGAGGGATGAAGTACCGGCGATGCTTTGGAAAGGGACGTAATCGGAGTCGGTGCCAAGGCCTTCAATCTCGCCCTTGCGCCGGTCCCAGCGTTCCCGCAGGGTGCTGTTGAAATGGGGGTCGGCGACGCGATTCAGGATTTGGAGGAGGAGCTTGCGGAAGACGGGCGACCCAGCGGCGTGGAAAGTGTCACCGGAGACGGCCTTGTCGAGGTTGATGTAGGCGAGGGCGTCTCGGCGCAGCGCTTCGTCGTTTTGCTCAACGTACTCTGTTGACCCTATCAAGTTGTACTCTTGGGCATCCCACGACGCGAATTCGATGGTGCGTAGAGGGCGCCAGCCGCGGCCAACGAGGTCACCCAGGATGCGGACAACTTCCAACATGATGGCGGTTCCCGAGTGGGGGCCAACCGCGGGGAACGCCCAGGAATCGCGGTGGTTGCCGATGATGACCTTCTTCTCACCCTGCTCAATACCTGTGATCCTGCCGTACACGTTCCAGATTGGCTGCTTTTCAACCTCATCCTGCACGTTCTTCAGCCGTACAATGGGCGAGGAGCTGTCCCCAGTCCACCACTCGCTCACATCAGGGACATCCCCGATCCACTGTTCGGGAACCCGCTGACCGGACCCTTTGAGGCGCTGGAGCAGGGCCTGTGCATCGCGCCATGTCAGGGGAAGGCTGGGGATTTTGACAAGGCCTTTCGTCTGGTCCAACTTCATGCGTGGCAGATTATCTTTGCTGCCCCAACCAGGCGTCAGAACGTCTCCAACAACCCAGCTCAGCAAGCTCACGGTCCCATTCTGCACGCCATCGATCGGCAGGGACCGATCCCCAGATACCGCCGTCCCCTTTAGAGAGCCGTCATCCGCGGGGTCGCTGTATGTAATGCAGCCCACAGCGCCAGCCTCCTCGGCCGCCTTGACCTTCAACGCGATGTCGTGTTGCGGCCCATAATGCCGGACCAACACAATAGCTCCGTTCAAGTTGATGCCACGGTCCTTGAGCAACTGAAAGTCTTCCCTCAACCCGTAGTGCGCGTATATCAACCGCCCTTTGACATCCCCCGATTTCGAATGTCCGTGAAACGCAGGAGTGGGGCGCCGAACGCCTCCGACCCCCTCCCCTTCCCACTTCGCGGACCACGTCACTTTGCCGCCCTTGCCCAAAACCTCCACTGCCCTGCCCCCATCCTTGGGGTAATTCAGATAAACATGGTAGACATCCCGCCTGACATCTTCCAGCCCATACTTCCGAAACAGCATCTCGGTATCCTCCATCAACGCAAAATCCCCAGCCGTCCCGGCCACATGCGCGTAGCCCGTGAAGTGCCTCAGGTGGTCGCGTATCTTCCTCGCGTCGATGCTGCCCTGCACATGGTTGCGCACGCTCTCGGGGTCGTACATCTGGCTGCCCATCCTACGGGCCATGTTGTTGAACATGTCGCTCGAGAAGACCAAGTACAGCAGACCCAACACCACAAACACCGCCAGCGTCCTAGCAACGAGCAGCAACAGGGCGGGGCTCCCAAACTTTGGCAACGCGGGCGCGCGCGCCAACCACGACGCCGCCCACGACGCCCGCGGCCCCTCCTCCGGCGCCGGTGCACCACCATCCCCTCCACCTCCACTCCCACTCCCACCAGCACTCCCACCAGCAGCCCCCGGCCGCCGCAGCGCCGGCAATCGCCACCTCCACCGCCAGCGCCACTGGGGCAGAGCCAGGCCGATGCGCTTGCCCCAGGAGGAACGACCCCGACCGCCGCCGTGGACGCGCGAGTCGTCGATCTCGAGCTCCTGCATCTCGCGGCGCACGTGCTCAGCCTCGCGCTCGGCGTCGGAGTCCGAGTCCGAGTCCGAGCTGAAGAGGTTGCTCTCGTCGTCTGTCTCGACCGTCGGGGGCCGGTAGCCGCGGGGTGGGCGGCGGGCACCACCCGGCGCTGTTGTGGGGGTCGGGGTGGTGGTGGAGGAGGAGGATTCGAAGGCGTGTCGGGACCGCGTTAGCAGCGATTGGCCTTCGGCTTCGGCTTCAGTCGTGTGTCGGTGGTCGGGGTCGGGGTGGTGCTGGTCGGTGGGGGAGTCGGCGACATCGTGGTGCCAGGCGCTGCCGCCCGCGACGGCTTCATCGTAGGTCGGTATTGGCGGGACGGGATCGTACCGCTGGTCTTGGGTCGGCGCCATGGTAGGCGGGTTTGTGGCCGTCGGCTTGTGGGGGAGTCGTTCTTGTCGTCGTGGATAGTTTTGGATGGGGGACGATTTTAAATGTGTCTCGGAAAACGGCGACGCTGAAACCAATGCGGTTGTTGTACGAAGTACGAAGTAGTTAACGTTATTTATTGCCAGAATCACAAAGGAGTGTGGTGAAAACGACGAAATAATCAGCAAATTGCTAAAAACGAAAGCAACGTAACGCTCATCAGGCCAGCGGCTCCGTGAGCCAACATTGATGGTGTTTAGTCGGTGTTGTTGAATGAAGTCGAAATTGCCGATCCGAAGCACACGACAAGGAGACGAGTCGCCCCTTGTCGGCTCGGTTGCAGGGGTTCTTGGCGGCGCGGCAGCACCATGCCGGATCCCCAACAGGCGGGGCCCCTGTCCCCGCTGCTCCCGAACAGTTAATTGTTCGAAACACGGTTTTGGGTCCGCCAAAATGATAAACATGATAAACCAATCCCACCCAGGAAAAGGGAGTGCCTCACTTTCACAATTGAGAGCTTCCTAGACAACTGTGCTAGACATGTTGGTTATGTTGTTTTTGTTTGTTCTTCACACGATATCGACTTATATCCACTCATGGTCATGTTCCTTCAAGCGCGGAATAGGGGCGACTGCCAATGTTCCCAGCAGCTTGGCTTGCGCCATCCAATCCATTCTCACAACGGGCACTTCCTTGAGTTGCTCCGCCTTCTTAGCCGATCCACCACAATCTCCTCAGCTCTCAGCCGTTGTCTTCAGGTTATCTGTTGTTGCTTTTTTTTTCTTCCTCTAAAGCAAAAATGTTGCCTTGGTCCTCCTTACGTAACATCACAAACAACACCCCACCACCATTAGTGCCACCATGCCCATCATCACAGACTCCACCCCGACCCCATCTCGTCCGGCCCCGGGTCCTTCTTCCGCAGCACCGCGCGCCACATACGTCGAAAGAGATAGGCCCAGATGATCCACTCGGACGGCTTCTGCTGTCCGCGCTCGCTCCGCTCAAACACCTTGAAGCGGTCACCAAACCACCGCCACCTCAGGCTCGGGTCCCCCTCCATCTGCTCGATCAGCGTCCGCCGCTTGGGCCCGTATATCTTCTGCAGGCCGTGCACCGCGTTGTTGAGGTTGAACGTGAGCGCGTACGTCGCGACAGCCACGACAACCGTCACGATCGCCAGGTTGGTGCTGCTGTAGGACTCGTTGATGCTCCAGATTGCCTGTTGGTGGAAACGGGGGAGGTATGAGCGAGGATTTATGCTGCAAGAGAGTCGCGGTAGGTAGAGGGAATGGGGTTGGTGCTTACCATGCAGAGGCCCAGAGGAAGGAAGAAGATGCTAACGAAGGTGAGGAGCTTAACGTTCTCGCCAAGCTGTGTGGAAGCCCGAGATTCCATCACCGCGCTGGCATTAAAGAGCTGGGGTTGTCAGCAGAGCAAGGCGTGGGGGGTTGTTGTACAGCGCTATATCCAGATTGCGCTTTGGGCAGGGCAACTCACGCCGTCTCTCATAATGGTGATGCGTTCCAGCTTCTCCTGAAACTCCTGCCTCAGCCTCTTCAGATCCTCACACGACTCCTCCGCCACCTGGTCCGCTGTGGCGAGCACCTCCTGAGACTTCTCGTACCAGTAGTATTCCCGGTCGCTCTGCAATCCCATGGCGGTCCACGGCGTCACAGACCGTTTTCGAAACCTAACCCATTGTTGGATCGAATCATCCAGTAGCTTGTCCGCCTCGTGGATGAAATTGATAGCCCAGAAATAGCGCTTCGAGGTCGAAAAGGCGTCATCGTCAAACAAGATGTCCTGGAGTTGATCAGGCTGGCGCAAGACGCTGTCACTATCCACGAGCTTTTCGATGGACTGAAGGATCTCGCGCCAGCCGGCTGCCACTGTTCTAAGCGCCTCGGCCACATAGTATGTTGTCTGCGCCCTGAGGGTCGGCGCTGCGCACGTTTCGTATATGAATGGTGCCCAGAAGTCTTGAGGTGTCAGGCAGATGAGCGTCCAATGGATGGAGCTGGCTAACGACGGAGATTCGTTTACCAAGGGCACAGGAAAGATCTATAACAAAGTAAAGTCAGTTGTCAGCCTCAGTGCTTTCAAAGTTGCAACTGCTCAGGGAACCAAGATAGAATTACCGTAAAACAGCCCTTGCTCATTCCAACCGTAGGGGCATTGAAGAATCGAGTCGTGTTTCGCAGGTCTCCAACGTACCCGGTCTGGAGTGTAATCATGTGAAAAAACGCGATATGAAACTGCAAATCGGGTTCATCCGTGTTTCCGAGATTCTGATTCAACGAGTCCAGTCGAGTAATGGACGCGACGGGGCCGAACGACTCCAATGTGGTCGCCTGAACATGGACCTCAACGAGACTATTTAGAGAACCGAAGCAGGAAGCCAGGGACACCGACGACGGTCGATCGTCATCACACGCTCCAACCCATGGTATATGTTTTAACACCAAGCGCTCATCATTATGAGGGATTCCCTTCAAGGCTCGACTCGCTTCTCTTAGAATCGTTGGAGATATGCTTGAGAGTCCTTCCAGGAGGCTAATTCGTTGTCAGCATTTCTAAGCCCTGATTGTGAAAAAAAGAGTTGAAGCGACTTACACTAGCCTCCTCCAAGGACCGCCGGATTTGGAGTGACCGTGCTCCTGGCTGTCGATGAGGTCGGCTAGCCCAACCGTGAATTCCGCTCGCTCCCATTCCTCGCGGGGGTGTTTAGTATCAGGGTCTATCCATCGATACAGTCCACTGGGCCTGTACGCGCAGCCTTGCATTGGGTACCATATTCCTCTTGGCCAACCCCAATCCACGATCCACATGCTGCCAAACTTTTGCAGCTCTTCAGTGGCTTTTTTCAGGGCGCTTGCACCTTGAAGCGCGGGATCCGACGGTGCTCCGGAATAAAATGTCTCAGAAACAGTAAGTGGTAGCCGCCCGTCGTCAGGAAGCTTATTCCAGGAACTAAAGGTATCGCGTAAGAGCTTGGTCACTGCTGGCGCAGTGGTCCCCTCTAAAACCTGGCTGCTTCCATAATACAACGAAGTATCGTCCACCAGGCTCCACTCATTCGGTCGTCCGGTCGTCGTCGTGTAGGCCTTGATAAGGCTACTCAGATTCAATTTCCGACTGCCCCTGTCTGCATGAGCTGCAGCACGCTGGAAAATGTCGCGGAACTGGCGAACTGACAGCCGCAACGTCGTAGCCGTGGCCACTACCCAGTTCACCATATCATCTCCCTGCTCCACAAATTCGGGATCCAGCTGGCTCAGGTAGGATGTAAACATTTTCTTGATGTCTTCGGGTAACGGAACTGGGAAGGGAACCTGTCGGATATATCGCACGAGGTGACTGTCCAAGGAGGGTAGGTCCTCAGAGAGAAAGATCATGGCTCCCCCAAAGCGTTCGAGGGTCTGCGCGAGTGCTGCAACTGATGAGCAATTTATCTCACATACTGTTGCATGGACGGCCGATTCTCACCTTCTCCGAGTGGGTTCCGGAGCAGGCCATCCAGGCGCCTGCTCTTCAGCATGTTGTCTGCCTCGGAACTACTCAGCCGTCAGCGAAGCGACTCTCACCAGGGCATGAAAACACAAACAAGATCATGACCGCACCCCAACGAAAGCTTAGTTTGGAGTATAACGACAATCTGTTCGCGAAACTTTCGGGCTCCAAACCCATGTCGTCAGGGCTGAGACGAAGGGTTGGGCGGTGGCAATAATCTGCCAGGGACGATGCTGTCAATGCTTTTCCGAGACCTTCAGGACCTGTGCCCGCACTTCATTTAGCAGGTATGTTCTGTTTTCAGGTACTGTTGCCGTGCTCACCATGAAACTGGGCAACAAACGCTTTGCGTGAGATGTTTCCAGCGGTCAGGAGATCGTGATTTGTCCCCTCCAGAATCTCTTTTCGCCAGGCAAAGTGTTCCGTAATTTTCTCTTTAAGAAAGTTAACCAAATCCTGGCCTAGGGCGACGGTTTCTAAGGTGTCGGCATCCCACCAGAACGGTTCGACAGGACGGAGATCACGAATGGGGAAGGTTGTCCACTTTTTGCCTACGAGCAGAAACCCCTCAACCTTCGCCGGTGCCAGCAAAAGATATCTGGTGCTCAGAAGAACGTCTTCGGATAAGACAGAACTTGTGCATTTGGAACAATAACAACCAAAAGTAGCGGTTGTTTGCAGTGGTTCCTCGTTGTACAAGGAAAAGGCTGCGGGGTCTAGGATGGCTTGGACGACCTATTTCGCTGAGTTAGTAGTACGGGGCAAATAGAACGCTGCTTCCATCGAACACCATACCTTAGAACCATGTCTAAAACCGTCTGAGAACTCCGACTCCCAGACGCAGAGAGGGTAATCGCCAACCTCGACGTCAGAGATCTCCTGAAGACGTGCGAGATACTTCCTGTTTCTAGCGACGAGTTCCCCCAACCGAGTGACTGATTGTTTTGTATCCAACCCAATAACGGGGTGGTATGGGAACGCTTTGATCGGCCGCGCCCCGCTGTAACGGCCCAGTTCAAAGCGGCTGCTCGTTCTCGAGAAGCCCTTGCCGTTCCACCTGAAGTGCCAAACCTGCACCACGCAGGCCTCTGTGGTTGCCGTCCCGGTTATCATGTCGCACGACGAAACCTCAACCACTTGTTCAAGACCTTCTCCTCCTGGCCCAACGAGCAGCATTCCAGGAGAGAAGATAGTCGGTAGGTCGTCGAAGAGAACAACGCCGCGAGCTATGTTGGCATCTCTACTCCGGACAAGTGTCTTACACTGTTCATCGCAACAGCCGAGCAGGTCTGCGGTCTGCATTTTCAGACGAGGTGTCAAAGCGTGGCTGGCCTCGTGGTCGGCATACAGGGATCGAAGCTCACTATCGGGTTCCTCCGACTCGCGAATGAAAAAATTGAGGACATCCCGGTAAGAAAGTAGCTCCGTGAATGGGTAAGTGAAGGTTCTGTGTCCGATGCGAGTGGCTTGTCGGGTTTGCTGGCGATTCAGACAGGGACTCGAGGTGCATAGCAGCAGTGCAAGGAGGTCGCTGTCTTCCACGGTGATCTCCTGGAGGTGGCTTGATCCGTCCAGATCGGTCTTGCTTTTCGCAATGAAACCCAAGTGCTCGGTTTTCAGCACACGGCTTGCGTCTTGGACTGCAACGGGGACAATAGCACCAGCTTGAGCGGGCGGCCATGACTTCTCGAGGATCTGTAGGCGCCGGTCTAGAGTCCCAAGCGTGGTGTCGATTCTATTAAGAACTTCGATCAGTTTGGAAGCCGCCGTTTCATCGGAATCGGTTATGTTCTCCGCAACTGGAGGCGTGGATATTGACGTCGCCATGGAAGTCTTGTCACGGCGTTTTGCGCGGTGGAGGACGCGCGCGTCGTGGCAGATTCGAGCTTCTGGCGTCCAGGGCCTGGGGCCATGGTTGCAGTGCCACATCAGAAAACGGCCCCCACGAGAAACCTTGCTAGTCATGCAAGCATCTGTTGAATAAGCGACCAATCACCAGGCGCTGGGACACACTCTGGCCAAAAAAGCCAAAACGGGAGAGAGAAATTATGAAAAAGAAACGAAGTAAATCAAGAAAAAAGGGGAATCGTGAAGCGAGCTGGGCCAACTAATTAAATGACTGCTGCGTGTGGTGGGCGAATATCAAACATCAGGCCAACACTCCTTCTCAGCCTCCAAAAGTGTTCTCCATTTCCCTTCCACTCTCCCGAGAATCGCCTCCTTCACCTTCCCCTGCTCCTCCCCCTCCTCCCGCTGCACCACTTCGGCCACTGCATCGTCAATCAACTTCCCCAACTCTTCCACGAACCGTGAGAACTCCGGGCTGCTCCAATTGGGGATGAATTCCTTGCGTAGCGCACCGCCATCAGCATCCTCCTTGCCAGCGTCCTCGCCTGAAGGGTGGCGCTCCTCGGCCTTGTCGCGGGCCCAAGACCAGGCGTCCAGATAGCAGCGCTCAGTGCCCCAGAACGTGAGGGCTCCTTCCAACCAGGGAAGGAGGGTCGGCGGGGTCGTCGTAGCGGCGCTGCTGGTAAAGAGAGATCGCACAAGAGATCCGCCGGGTAGTTTGTTGGGGGAATCGACGGTGGTTGGATGAGTGCCGACAGATGAGAAGAGGGAGTCTAGTTGGACAAACCCCGGCAATTTTCCGCCCTGCGTGGAAACCTTATCCTGCGCGGCGGCCGAAGTAGCAGGGAATGGAACGGCGATTTCGATGCCCAAGTTGTAGCGATCAGCAACATCGATGAAAAAGCGTTCCTCCTTTCGGATGGCGACGAGAGCTTCAGTCACCCAATCTACCAATCGAGTCTCGAACGCTTCCTGCGATCCGGACACTTGCTTCGGAAGGTCGATTGATGCAAGGAATTGGCCCGCCGCGCGGATGTACGAGTGAATGTACAACCGGTCGTTGGCAAGCCAGCGACTCAAGATGTTTTTGGGCAGTCGACCCTCGGCACCGGCGAGTAGGAAGGGGTGCTGAGTCGCGGACTTGTAAAGCTGTTCTTCGGTTGCCAGAAGGTGGCCGGTGAGGGACCATGCCTGTTGCGGGGATGCCATGACGTAAAGAAAGGTTGGGATGTGGAGCGCGACGCACTACAATTCTTGTCAGCTCAAACGGAAACAAAGGTTTTATCGAATGAGTACGTTGCAAAAAAGAAGGGACTGACCTGAAATGCGCTTTCTCAGAAAGCTTGGTGGTGTCGCGGAACACGTCATCATGCGGAGATTCGGGTCTCCGGCAGGCCCCACCCACCCCGTTCCGGCACCGACATATCGGAGCTCTCCACCGGCCCGAACAAAGGCAAGAGAAAACAAAACGACCAAGAAAAAAGAGAAATTATCCCCACAGGGCAAAAAGACCGGACCCCAACCCCTCGTCCCAACCGCGAAGCGACAAGAAAAACAAAAAAAAAAGAAGCCCCTCCAGGGCAGACCTGGCCCTTCCCAACAACCCAGCCTTCCACCCCACCCCTCCCACTCCTTCCGAGGACGCGTGTGGATGGTCTAGCCGTCCACCTCCATCTTCGAGCCAACGCCGCCGGCGACGCCGTCGAGGTCTATCGCGTCGACACCGGCGGCGAGAGAGACGTACGCCCGGATCGTTGGCATCGGCGACGGAAGCGGCGGGGGAGGCGATTGTGGCTGCCGACAAGGCGGCTCCGAGGTCCCGGTCGTCCGCGTCGGAGTCCGGCGACCCGGCGGGGTCCCCCCGATTGTCGTCGTCTTCGAGGAACACCGCGACGGACGACCAGAACCACGCCGCCACCTCGAAGGCGTCGACAGCAAGGGCGAGCTGTCAGGGCTTGGGTTGGTTTTCTGACGACTAGAAGTGTGAGCGGTTAGCAGTGTACGGTTGTAAAATGGATTCAAGTTGCGATGGGTGACACAAAGATTTGACTTTACCAAGTCATCCAGGTACCGCTCCTCTATAATTATATCAGTGCCTGGCCAAAACGATCGTCGTAAAAAGTTGCTCAAACCGAGCAGGCGAGAGAAGTCTTCCGAGGCGATTTGCCCCCCGGAATTCGGCCCGGAACTCCGATCGCTTGACGTCCCGACCCGATCGCCTACACTCAACATTACCCCCCGTCGCCGCACCGACATACGCGTGGTCAGGGCCCTCCGATCGCTCGGCGTTCCGATCAGAAAGCTGGACGTGCAGATCGAGCTGGCCAACATGGTGGAGGAGGCCACCGCCTTTGCCCGCGGAGTGGCCTGCGAGCCGGGTGTGGTTAGGCGCGACTCCTCCAATCTGATTCTTGGACGGATGTTCATTCTTACCAACTCATACCACTCCACAGCATGCAAGCCTTGAGGTCTGGCGCGGGTCTCGAGGCGCGGACGCGAGGGGGACGAGGCATCTTCTTGGCTTTTTGTTTAAGTACTGTGAAGAAAATGTTAGTCTCTTCTGTACATGTGCAACTTATGCATTACAAATAGCAGACTAAAAATACAACAAAAGGACTGCAAATTATTATTACTCATACTCCGCTATGCCCTAGGGCGTGCCGGACCCTCAGCTATTTAGTGTACAGGAAGGCCGTGCCCTCCCGGGCCGGGTGAAAAACCCATACCAACAATCAAGGAACGATGCGTTCTGGTGAGTCTGCGTATACAAGGAGAGGAGGCCTCCTGGCCTCCGAACGGGGGCGCTTCAGGCCGCCGCTTCCAGCTCGAGCCTCCTGGCTAAGGTGTACATCGGCAGCTTCCCCGAGTCCATCAGCCAGTCGAGGACTCTCCTCGCCAGCCGTGCAGTCGTGGGATTGATGCGTGTAGAACAGAGTAAAAGTCCCGTCGTGTCCTAATTCCAGTCTTCTCCCATCTTCGAGTCAACGGTGGGGCCAAACACCACACTACCAGGTGTTCGGCAGTCTCTCGTCCCTCGCCACACTCGCAGGCAGGCGTTAGAACCTCCGGGACTCCCCGTGTGAACAAGAAGTCCCGTAGGCCGATTGCTCCCGTCCGGATTTGAATCAGCAGTGAGCTCTTCGCCTTGCTGAGACCGTCGTGCCTCCTTAGGGTTTCGTTCCGGAATAGCGTCTCCTGCTGATGGTCAAAGTCGTCCGCCGGCCTGGTGATTGCCCTGCCGTCCCGTTCCTTTAACCACCTCGCTTTCCAAGCCTCTTCTATTTTGTATCTATCCATTCATGTTATTTCTTGAATTTATTTTCCTCCAACAATCCTACTCCATCAACGCAGCCCACAACGTGCAGCGCAAAAATATCACGAACCAAGCTTAATGGTGTTTTGACCATCTCCGTTATTTTTGTTTTTGCTTGCCTTCAAACCACCGCCACGACCTCGTAGTCTCGAACTACCCGCAAAACACCGAATGCACAACACATTTTGCCGCCGCTTGCTCATTCATTTCAACAACGCCGCGCCCAGTCCCGACTAACACACTGGCGCATGTCGTTGAAATCGGAGCCTTGGCAACCCACACCTCCACAAATCAAGCTTTGAATAGGCAGGGAGGGAGACAATTCGCCCCACCGTGTTCAGGTCCAGCCATTCATCTTCCACGGGGCCTCTCCACGCCACATGCGTTGCAAGGGTGCGGTGGTTGGCCAAATATGGGATATCATGCATCATGAGATATTCGTAGCAGCATCCAAAACAGAGTTTAACCGTTGCACACAATATTTTTCCAACAACTTCCACAAAATCCACGGGTCCCACCGTCAACTACGTACATCAAATGACTAACTACCTTGACCGAGAAACATAAAAGTATCCAAGAACATACCCTCCCACTTCGTACACTGCACAAATCCACCGAACAAGTAACCCCCAACCCCCAACCCCCAACCCCAACCAGCAGCACTTAACTCTCCACCCCCTCCACCCTTCTCACCCACTCCCCCACCAACCCCCGATAATCCTCTGGGCCATACGGCTCCGTCACCTCCGCCCACCACCCCCGCTTGCGATGCACCTTCAAGCCCAGATCACTCACCAACAAATCCACATACGGCAGCGCGTCAAAGACAAAGTCCGGGAACTGGGCGCCATGCCCGGCCGGGTACCGCCAGCGGCCGAAGCGCGCGTGCAAGCGGGTCTCGGTGCGCACGTCGGTTATGGTTTTGGGTTGGTCGTGCTGTTGGTCTTCTTCTTCCACCTTCGCGTTGTTGGTGGGGGGTGGTGGTGTTGGTGGGAGGACGGTGGCGGGGAGGCGGTCGGTGAAGTAAGCGGCGATCCAGAGGCTTTGGGCGTGGGCGACGAGGGTGGTGGAGAAGTTGAGGAGCATGCCGGCGAAGGCGATGTCGCGAGTCTGGAGGAGGCGCTCGGATGGGGGTGCGATGAAGCGGTACAGCGTCCAGGGGGTGAGCGGTGTGGAGGGGTTGATGGCGTCCGTGGTTGTGAGCCCCTTAGTGGCGAGGAGCGGTGTCAGGTGTTTATTCTGCACGGGTTGGTCGCGCAGTCGCGGGAAGCGCGAGAGGATCGTCTCGTCAGCGAGCTTCACTTGCGTAGGGCTGAAGAAGTCGTCTTCCGAGGGCTTGCGAGGAAGTCCCAGCTCTCTGTCGATGCCTTCGGGCAGGAACTTGACAGGCGGCACATGTTTCCAGCCGGTGACACAGCAGAGCGCGTCCGTGTCAAGCTGTGTACCGTCGGATAGATGCACAGTTCTCTCAGACAGTCTTGTAAGGTCAGCGATGTGCACAATGATGGTACCATCTCGCACAAAGTCAAAAATATCGGTTGGGTAGTTCAGGATGGAGAAGGAGGATGCCGTGAACATCGCCTGACTCCACGGCTTGAGCTTTTGTATCTCCGGATGTGAGTCGTATTTGTTCAAGGTCAGGACGTCGTTGCCGAGGATAAACCAGAAAGCGTTCGTAATCGCACGGCCGAGCGCGGACCCGTGATAGAAGCGGCGGATCCAACCATAACCATCGACGTCACCCCATATGCAAGGACTGAACCACGTAAGTAGGCGTGTGTCTGTACGGCAGGGTCAACGGGCTGTCAAAACCACTGGTCTTGAACACGGTTACGATCGTACTTACGGACCAGTTTCTCGAGCCATTTCTTAAGCGGCGTAACGTAAGGAGGCGATATCCAAATTGGCCCATGGCCGCTTGCTGCAGGAGGCAGACATGTGAGCTTCGAACAGAGTACCACACGCCGGGGGACGACCCACCTCGTATCACCCAGTTTACCTTGACACCCTTTGAAGCATAAGCGTAGGCGACATCCCAAGCTGACTTTGTCCCGCCGAATATAGTCACTGTCTTGGCAGAATCGAGTGTTCCGGCGTACTTGGTGAAGTCTCTGCTGTGGAAAATGGGTACCCCAAACTTCTCTTGACCCTCAATGTGCGGCAGAAACGGCTCGGAGGTGAGTCCTCCAGCCATAACCAGCTTGCGTGCAAAGATTCGGGATTGGGCGGCACCATTTTGGACTGTCAAGATCCACCCTCCTTCGGGGGTGTCTTGGTGCTCGGCGACAGAGACCGCTGACTGAAAGCGGATCTTGTCAAAAATGCCAAACTTTTCAGCATACTGAGTGAGGTATTTGAACATGACCTCTCCCGGCATGTGTTCTCCGGGTTTGACGCCAAAGGTGTCAGTGCGCATAGGAAAGTCCGGATACTCGAAGGTCCCCAGCATATTGTTAGTCTTGAGGCCAGGGTACAGCCGCTCCTCAGCCCAGACACCCCCAACGGTAGTTCCGGAGTCCAGAATGGCTAGGCTCCTTTGGGGTTCCAGTTGATGGAATGTTTTTGCGGCGGCAAGGCCGAAGATGCCTATCATACATGTTAACGGGCAAGTCTCATATCTCCCAGAAGAGTGCAATCACCCGCCTGTTCCGACTACGACACAATCGAGCGTCTCCATTTTGGATGATGATTAGGACGTCAGGGGGGTGAGAGAGAGAGACCGGGGGGTTGTTTGTTGCGGTGGTGTCTTGTCTCTGCGCTCAATTCTGGCACGCCGTTCTCAGGATTCACCGAGGGATGTCAGGATGAGAAACAAAATCATAAATGACGGGGAAATCGCGCTGTGCTATGTGATTCTGCCGAGCGTCACATCGTGCCCCCCAGGACGGACACGGTCCCCTGTTCAGGAAACGAGCGACAGATTTAACTCTACCCCCCTGCAAGCCATGTGGGGAAGGAGCCCGCCCAACCAGCCGGTTCTCCATGAGCATCGTCCGGGGAACCGATGCGAACCCTCCAGGCTGTTGATGAGACCCTGGAGAGTTTACCTATGATCTCTTTGTTTGTCCCAAGCGATGATTGCAGCGTCAGCCCCACCGACGAGAAGCCCTGGTGAGCCCACGGAGTATCTTGTGGAAGTCGGGAACTGCTTTGAAAAGGGTCCCTTTCTTGAAGCATTCGCAGCATTCGAATTTCGAGCCCAAAAAGCATGAACTCTGGATCCATGTAATTTGACAGAGGGGTGGGATGTGACTCGTATGAGTTTGCTGTGCAGGTTGTCGATCGGACCATCACTGGGAGGCCCATGCGGGCCACTGTTTTGCAGTTGTAACACACACGGAGAAGGCCGCAAGGCGCCGCAGGAACCCATTCCCCGGGCGAAACTGGGGCTAGTTGTTTGGGGTGTCAAGCAATCGATGATTGAAGCATGGAAGTGAGGGTTGAGACCTGCCCGCCGACTTCGAATTCAGTCCATCAACTCGGTTGCGCACATGGGTAAGGTATGGTCCCATACTCTTATTGCTTGGGCTTGACCGACGGTTTATTCCGATAAACCTCGGAGCTAAATTTGGGAATGGTGGGCTCGGAGATGATGCGCAAACTGCATCACCAAAGGACTAGATTCTCGATGTTCGGGGACGGAGGGTGAGGGTCAGAACTGGTAAACCGGCCGCCTTCCTCTCTCTCGGTTGGTCCCGGGAAGCAACATGAAAACCAGAACGTTCCTTCCGCTGTTGGTTCCATCCAACGCAGGTAACCTTACCTAATGGAGGCCCGAAATACCTGGTATCCATGCATCGCATGGATTCAGCCACTTGTCCCATGCAATTCTGCCCAAACATATTGCGAAACCGAGTGCAAAAACACGGTTGTCCCAGGCAAACCCAGGATCCCAAGTCATGAGAATGCAATATGCGTCGCACAAACATCCAGCTCTCGTCGCAGAGCTGCATCTTTCCGGCCCAAGTTCCGACAGCCTTCATATTTTCCATCCCGCTGCTACTTTAGGTTTGATGCCTGCTTCCGCCAATGAATCTGCGGTGTGAGGCACCAACGCCAACCACGCGATGGCTCCCGCACTGTATCGGCAGCTTGTCAAATTGAATCGCCAGACCCGAGGCGATGGTGCGCCTTGCCCTGGTGCTTTGTGCGACGGTACCTGCCGATCGATGAGATACGCTTCAGGGTCGCACGAGTTGGGGAAAGTTTCGCTCGCCCATCTGGACGAGAGCAGGCTCAGGCCAATGTCACGAGGCCAAACAATCTCGTGTTTGTGTTCCCTTTGGCCATTAAGCTTAGATTCCGCTCATCCTTCCAGTTATGAGTTTATCATGATGCTGGGGTGTGCAACACGGGGCGTCTCCAACCTTGAACTGTCCCACATTCTTTATACCGTGAGATTCATCCCCTGATGCCACATCGTTTCAGACCGGCTCGTACTATCCTGAGAGCACCAGCAATCCAGCGGCGCCGTCGGCTCACGTCAACTGTAGCTATGGACACTTTTGTTCAAGAAGCCTTCACATTGCTTGGGATTGGCTTATTCGTGATTGGCCTCCGACTCTACATCAGGATATCTTCGTCCGGAATCAAGCATCTCCATGCGGACGACTACTTGATGATTGCGGCCGCGGCAAGTACATCTGCATTCAAGTGTTTGACCTTTTGCTAACTCGATAGACAGGTGGTTTATTCCGCCGAGACGTATCTTGCTTACTCGGTCGGGGCATTTTGGAAAGGGCTCGCCAACAATGCCATGACTGACGAACAACGTCGGCTGCTGGATCTGAATAGCGAGGAGTACCACTGGCGGTAAGAGGAATTACTAGTCAAGAAGGCTCAATTCAGGTCTGACAGATTTCAAGGGTCAATGGTTCCAAGACACAAGTTGCTGGCTGGTCTACTTACACGCTCTTGCTCTGGGTCATCAAAGCCGCCATGTGCAACCTTTATCTCCGTCTTACGGTATGACACCTCGTGCTTCCTGCGACTCAAACCACAGCTGATGGCAATTGCAGGATGGCCTGGGCCTTGAGAACCGCATATATGCTGGGTTTATTCTCATCGGGGCGACTTGGGTCGCTGTTCTTCTCTCTATCCTCTTTGGCTGCTATCCTTTTGAGAAGAACTGGCAAATATACCCTGACCCTGGGAGTGAGTGCTCCATCCTTATCCTCTGCGGAGGTTGCTGACTGAGATCAGATTCCTGTCAACCCGCTATCTCGAAGATTGACATCTTTGTCACGGTCGTTTTGAATGTAGTGACCGACCTTTACCTTATGAGCATCCCGATCCCCATGCTCTGGGCCTCTTCGTTGAAACCCCTTAAGAAGGCTGGCGTCATTCTTCTCTTTTCTGGCGGCGTTTTCGTAACCGCGGCAGGCATCTTGCGTTGCATACTGATCATCACTGTCTGGACCCCCACCAACTCTAATGACATGAAAACAATTGCTGATGCAAATGTGCCATTACAGGACCCAGTCAATGGTGCCCAAAAGGCAGGGTCGTGGGCCGTCCGAGAAACATTTGTCGCTGTGGTCACCTCCAACCTGCCCATCCTCTCGTCCCTCATCGCTCGTTGTTTCTGCCCAATCATCGGCAGCCTCCGATCACTCTCCTCTTCCGCAAACAGAGCAGCGAGGTTGTCCCAAAACGGAGACGTGAAGCTGCGAGGCTTTATCATCGAGAACAAGAACCCGCGGCGTGGGATGGGCCCCCGGAGCGTTAATCCTATCCCCAACTTCTCGGGACACGACAGCGAAGAGAACATATACACCCGCAACGACGAGGGCGGCGGCGGTGGCGGCACGGCCTCTTACGACATAGACCTTGAGTCAGCCCGCACGACGAGTGTCAGGCTCGGCGTGATTGTGAAACAGACGTCGATAGAGGTGATTGAGACGTTGAATCTCGGGGGCGAGGCGAGCGGGCAAGATGTCGGGGACTACTATCTCGTGACGCAATCACAGAGAGAGGCTGAAATATTGGCGAGGAAGCCAAGCGCTGGGAAACGGAGGCGGTCGAGTTCGGCGTTTGGAATTGGAAGAGCTGCTTGAGTTGAAGTCACGAGCTTTCTGGTCTATACGAGGGTTATTCGTTGGCAGGCAGGAATCAGGAGGTTGTGATGCGGTTTGGTTGTGGTGTTTTGGATACTTGGTGGTTTTCAAGACTATGCTGCGAGATTACTATGCATCAGTAAGGAGTTATGTAACTAGATACTACTACCTACTATATAGCAGCTACCTGTGTGCTCAGTGTGCTCAGTTGTACCCTTCAACTGAGCTCACTGAGCCTCTCATGTGGGTTCCCTGATTGGCTTGTTTAGCGATTGGCCTGTGGTTCCGCCCGTTGGCACATCCGTGACAGCATAGGTACCTAGCCGTCTTGGTTGCTTTTGTAGTGGCGTCGCTCCTTTTCTTATGTTCCAGAATGTTGTTTTAGATGGCCGCTACCTCGTCCGATATTTTGTGGAATAGGTTGAGTGTCTTGTCAACCCCCCCCCTTCCTAGTTCCCCCCCCTTGAAGTTGTCGGATGTGATGTGTAGTTGAAACTTTGGCGCCTTTGCGTCCATTAGATGGGTTAAGTCCATCTCCGCGAGGTTGATTATGATTGATGCAGTTTAATAAAACCGCTACTGAATTCCGATTCGATCCGATCACTGCGTTTAATGTCCACAGGAGGCCGTACGCGAGGTACCTACCTTTCCTGGAGGTATCTGGATGGCCTTTGTATACCTAAGTTGTATACCACGAGTTAAACCACTTACCTTCTCCGGAACATCCCAAGTTAATCCTTCCACTTTTGCAACATCTGTTTCTCAGAACTGGCATTGCAAAGGAACTCGGGAGCCGCAGAGGATCCGTTTGAGCCCAAACGCTTCCAAGTTTTGGATATAATGGTGTGCTTTCTTGCCACTGACCATCGCATTACCGCCAACACCCTACTTGAATGCCGGTTATGCCGTGATGGGCAACTCCTTGGACGGTGATAGCCACTTAGGAGATGAAGGCGGTGATGCTGGAGGTGTTGGTCTTGGTGGTGTTAGTGCATTCCCAGGCTGACGTTCCTACCCTAACCCTCCCTTGTTCATCCCATGTATTTCTCCATCCGGTAATCAAGCTGCCCCACAACACCCCGCACGGCCCACACCCTCCTGTCCCGACCATCACCGGGGCAGATTTCCGGAAGATTTCTTGTCGCTAGAGATGCGGCGTCCACTCGCTTCTTTCGTCAAAGTCTCTCGTTCGTTTTTCCACGCCATGGCTCCCGGTAGGCGCTTATGCCCACCCTCTTCCCTTGTTTTAGGCACCGGTACAGGGACAAAACTAACCGCAGCCCAGTTCGCGATCCCCGCCCAGTCGTTATTTCGGGCCCGTCTGGCGTCGGCAAGGGCACCCTCTACAAATTGTTGTTCCAAGTACGCCTACCGTTGTTCGCCCGTTGTCGCGATTCCTGACAGACTGGCCAGAGACACCCCGAAACCTTCACCCTCTCTGTATCGCATACCACCCGCGGCCCCCGCCCCGGCGAGCAAGATGGCGTCGACTATCATTATGTAACAAAGGAGGCGTTCCTGGAGCTGAAGGCCAATAACGGGTTCCTCGAGAAGTACGAACCGGACATAGCAACTCCTCAATCTTCGTCAGAGACCGCCCACTGACATCCGCGGCAACAGCGCGCAGTTCGGCGACAACTTCTACGGCACGTCGAAAGCCACGATCGAGGAGCAGACCGCCAAGGGCAAGACCGTCGTTTTGGACATCGAGGTGGAGGGCGTGAAGCAGATCCGAGCCTCGGGCTTCCCGGCTCGCTACGTCTTCATCGCCCCTCCGTCTGAGCAGGAGCTGGAGCAGCGGCTGCGCGGCCGTGGGACGGAGAAGGAAGAGTCCATCCAGAAACGCCTAACCCAGGCCAAGGTGGAGCTCGAGTACTCCAAGGTCCCTGGCATTCATGACAGGATCATCGTGAATGATGTTAGTGCTCCCCGTGTTAGCTCGAGGGGGTCGTTCGAGGTGCTGACGTCGCGCAGGATTTGGAGAAGGCGTACAAGGAGCTTGAGGAGTTCGTCTTTGCGGAACCCGGAGCGAGCGCTTAGATCTGCATGGCTTCATATTTTTGAGATAGACTGTTTTTATGGGCAAGGTATTTTGGTCAACAATCGATGCTTTCGCGTGCGGCTCTGCTTGGGCGATTCTTCCCGCGCCAAGCTTCCGCTGATGCAACACAATATGGCGAGATTGACCCAACCGCCTTCTTTACCTCATCGCGTGGGTTGTTCAACTGCCGTTTCCCGCTGCGGGTCCGTTTGTCGGGATGAATCCCAAGATGCCCGGCTGCTTATGAACCCAACTTCTTGGCCCCTGTCGAGAACCGCCAAAAACATACCTCGGGCGCCTTTCACCCGGGGGCCGTTCACGCGCTGCTTCAAATCCCGGCAACCAGGTCCTCCCCGCAATTATTGTCCGTCAAGACCCCGCAGACGTCGGAGGAAGCAACCCCAAAGAGAGCTTGGCATAGCTGCAAGCTCGAAGAAACCCGGGGGGTCTTGTGTACCACGGTCTCCTATTCGCTGAACCAACAGGCCTCGAGCCCGGCGTTGAAGTCCTTGCAGCGGGCTCGATGTCGAATGGCGTCTCAATCCTCCAACAGATTCCTTCCCGTATGCTCGAGGTCACCGAAAAGGATTCGATCGACGTGCGGTTCTCGATATGGCAGGTCTAACGGGCGGCTGGGGTTGAGGGAGAACTGAACCGGTGCTTGTTATTAAAACCCTCTCCCGGATCACTCGGTCGTGGGATCTTGAAGTCTTGTTCCACGATGCTCCTCGCACACCGAGACAATGGCTATCATCGGCGCGAAAGAACAGCATGTCGACCCGCGGCTCACGCGCATTGCGCAGGCCGACACGAAGCCATGGTACCAGAAACCGAACCTACGGTTTCTGTATTTTATCCTTGTCCCCACGGCTCTAGGTGTTGAATGGACGTCGGGATTCGATTCTTCCATGATGAACAGCTTACAAGCTGTCCAATCATGGGTCGATTGTCGGTTCCCGAGCCCCCCCTCCCCATGACGAGCCCGTCCCCTAACCAACATTTACACCAGACTTTGACAACCCAACTTCGGACCGTCTCGGTCTCCTCAACGCCATGTACTCACTCGGCGCGCTGATGGCGATCCCCTTCATCCCGACCGTGAGCCAATACCTCGGGCGGCGCGGGACCATCCTCTTTGCGTCGGCCATCATGTGCATGGGCGCCGGGCTGCAGGCTGGGTCGCGTAACTCCGACATGTTCCTAGCGTCGCGGTGGGTGCTCGGGTTCGGGATCCCGTTCGCCATCGTCAACGCGTCGTCGCTGATCGGCGAGCTGTCGTACGCCAACGAGCGGCCCGTCATGACGTCGCTGTTCAACGCCTCGTGGTTCGTCGGCGCCATCGTCGCCGCCGGCACCACCTACGGCACCTTCCAGATGTCGTCGACCTGGGCGTGGCGCCTGCCCAGCCTGCTGCAGCTCGTGCCCAGCTTCTTCCAGATCGGCTTCATGTACTGGTGCCCGGAGTCGCCGCGCTGGCTGATCTCCCAGGACCGCGGGGATGAGGCGTTTGCGATCTTGCAAAAGTACCACGGCGAGGGCCAAGACGGCGATGAGTTTGTGCGTCTGGAGTTTGCCCAGATCCAGTCGACCATCGCGCAGGAGAAGGAGCTCGAGTCGAAGTTTGTGTGGGCCGACGTCGTGCGCGACCCGCCCATGCGCAGGCGCTTTATGATTGCCGGGATTGTTGGCTTCTTCACCCAGTGGAGCGGGAACGGTCTGCTGAGTTTCTACATGAAGAAGATCCTGGCGCTGGTGAATATCACGGATGACAGGACGGTGCAGAAGATTATTCTTAGCAACACCTGCTGGGGCTTCATCAACGCCGTGCCCATTGCCTTGATTGCGCCGCGGTTTCCGAGACGGACCATGTTCCTGATCTGTACCATTGGGACGGCGGTGGTTTACACGGTCTGGACCGTTGCGAGTGCAAGGTCGGCGATCGAGAACTCGGCGGCCGCGGCCATCCCCGTCTTGGTGTTCATCTTTGTGTATTCGCCGTAAGTTACTTCGCATTCGCACTGCTCGTTGGGGGCGCAAGGATTAACAGACGGGAAAATAGGTTTTACAACATCGGCTGGAACGCCCTAGCATACACGTATATGGTCGAGATCTTCCCCTACCAACAACGATCCAAGGGCATCGCCGTGGAGCAGCTGACAGTCCGTTTCGCCGTCTTCTTCAACACTTATGTCAACCCGATCGCGCTCGATTCCATCGGCTGGAAATACTACATCGTATACTGCGTCTGGATCCTGGTCGAGATCGCCACGGTGTACTTGCTGTTCCCCGAGACGCATAACCGCACGCTGGAGGAGCTCAGCTTTATGTTCGAGGGCAAAGCTATGCAGGATAAGGTGCAGCAGAACGTGGACAAGGTGCTTCAGGTCGAGTTGGATACCGTCCAGCGACGGTCGTCGGGGGCGGGGGCTGCTACTAATGAGCAACGGGTTTGAATTGTCGCGGAGAGGCGATTACGTCACTTGGCACATGCGGGAATGTCGTATGTGATTAGCGGGCTTGCTGGCGAAGCGGCGTGGTTCAAGAGCCGCGACTACAACAAAGAAAGTTAACAATCACTCTGAAACTGCACGGCTTCTTTATGTGCACTTACATTCCAATGGTGTCCGGTAATCTAGTATTTTAATCCCAGTTCTCAGGTAGAAGGGTAGAAGGCGACAAGTTCCGGAATTACTGGAGATCTGCTGCGGGTTCTGTGATGGCCCCTGCATGTTCGACTCTGTCGTCCAAGTATAATATTACTTGCCGGTCGTCTACTGCTCCTGACGCTGAAGCTTTCTCCAATCTCTCCTCGCAGCCTTCTCCTCCGGGGTAAGGCGGGCTCTGACTCTCGGTGGTGGTGCCTTACTTCCCGCGACCTTGGCCTCCAGCAGCAGCGGATACAAATTTGCGAAGGCCTCTTGGATGTCTTCGACGGCCTTGGCGCCCGTCAGCACAATCTTGCCAGTGCTGAAGACGAGGCACTTAAGCTTGGGCCGCAGCATGGTGTAGACCAGGCCCGGGAACAGCTCCGGCTCGTACATGGCCGACTCGCGGTACATGTGGGCGATGCGTTCGAGGCGGATGAGGAAGTCGCACGTGGCGGACCCGACGTAGTTCTGCACCTTAAAGTCGCTGAACCCGGTCCCGAAGCCGCACTTTTGTAGGGCGCGCGCGTGTTTGCGGGCAGCCAATTTGGCTAGCGCCTCCGACTTGGCCCCCGTGATGACCATCTTGCCCGATGAGAAAACGAGTGTGGTGGTGCGCGGCTCGCGGATGCGCATGATCAGAGCGTGGAATTTCCTTCGGTTGTATTCGACATTACGGGCTTGTTCGGAAATGAGCCGCAAGTCGAGTCGGCAACCCAAGTCGACGGTTGCGACGACGTTTTGTATTATGGGAGCCGGCCAGTCGGGCTTGATCCGTTCCCGCCAGGATGTCTTGGGTTGGCGGTCTCGTAACTCTCGTTCGGCCCCGGAGCGGGTCTGTACATTGGGAGGCATGTTCGGTGTTGTATTTATCGTTCGGATGTCCACAAGTTGGTTTTTTTCCGGTGTGTGAACTTATGATCTCGTTTGAGCGTTGAGTAAGTGATCTGGGTTTCGAATTAGTTAGACAGGTTCTCTTGGTTTCAACAATGCCATTGATGGGGAAGCTAACGCTCTAATACCTTGACGCTGGGACAAAGGGTCCGTCTGGGTGTTGAGGCAGTCTTCGATAATTGTTGTCGAACAAAGGTGAGGCGAATATGGATCGTATTTTAGACAATGTTATGTCCACAACAAAGGGAAACAATGGTTTTGTAATAGAAGTTCTTGTAGGTTGAGAAGTTGCAGAATCTCCCAGTCAGCGGAAAAGTCAGCGGAAAAGGTTGGATTCAGAAAGACGAGGGACTAGGGCTGGGTGGATCAAGCAAGCGAAAGAACTTGACAAGTGAAGGATGGATTTGTTGCTACAAACCTAACCTCCGCATGGATGGGATAATGGCCCCTTCCCGAGTGGTGAACTTTGACCAGACAACGATTCCAAACAACAACGACACCCGGTCATGTAATCATGACATCGAAACCCGGCAGGATACCCCTAATTACCTGGTATGTGGGTGACATGATGGAAATGCACTGTGCTGTGTATGCATGGCATGGTAAGAGTTAGAAGAAGGAGGAAGAATGTTTTGCAGATCAGCTGGTCTGGGAGGGCCAGGCAACGCATGCGTAGAGGGACAGCAGACAATCCCGAATTCTAGGCCCAAATGTCACCTGCCATGGCTCGAGAAAGGGACTGAAAATTTGCACAAGCAACGAACTCGCACCTTGTAATCTTGCAACATCATCTTGACCTACCTCCTTGACGACTCCAGGATGCGCTTCATTTTCTTATTCCTTCGTGGCCGCCGCAACAAGTCAATACGGCCTTCGACTAACGATAAACAAGAAACGAAGGTGAAGGGAGAGAGCCTCTTCCGCTGGCTGAAGTCGGGCAAACGCAGCCAAACCGGAGGCGAGGCTGCTTCCCCCGAAGATGCCCCAGCGCCGCCACGGCCATCCGACGGGTTGATCGCAGAGCCACGGGGGCCTCCATCACTGTCGGCAGATGAAAGCTCTACTTCGACGAAAGGCCCGAGCTCTTTTAAACAGTGTAATCTCGACGCTGCGCCGAAGACCGCGATGAGACGCCCAAGACTCCGCCGTATTGCGGGCGTTGCCGACCTCAAGGTCCTGGCGCGTCAAAACATGCCGACTCTGGATGGAGACAGGTTACTACCAATGGGCGCGCCTGCGATTGGTCGAGCAACCAAACTGGCAAAGGTCTAGTGGTCCGTCATGCCAGACTGGGAAACCATGTTCGAGGGAGATGGGGAAGACGACAAGCGGCGACCGGCCCAGTGCCCACAAACAACATTGATCTTGGTACATCGTTGACATCTGACGTCAAAGCCATGACGGATAAAGGAAAGAGACGCGCCGAGAGCCCATCTTGTGCCCTCCCTCAGTCAGGCACGGCCTAGCTCCTCGATTGCATCTCGATGGTGATGGAGAACAACGACTTCGTTGGCGTCGCGACTCAACCTCACGCAAGCGACACCAGCTCACGCTCAAGCAGCCGCACCAGTCCATGGCCATTCGGTGTCACTCTGTCAACCTGGGCTTCCTCGAGCGAAGCTTACACACAGGAGGTCGCTCCGGTCTCCGTAACATCCACACGAGCCAGAGTGGTATCCGAGCCGCAAACCCGACGCCGCAACCGGTAACTCCTCAGCCAACGCGGCTCGATTGTGATGCACGTCTGTACCGAAAACCTTGTCGAGCAGCTGACCGAAGCGCTTGCCTTGCAGCAAGGTGAGGGTTTGAAGCCAACGAATGGCGACAGTAACGGAATCGAGAGGCGTGATTACGGCTTCAAGTCTAGCTTGACACAGATGCAATTGCCGTTGGTGATCGAAGCGTACAAGGGGGTATTGAAGTGGCGTAAGCGAGAGACGGTGTTGTCGCAGGTAACGCGGCCGGCGGTCGAGACGGACGCGATTCGTTCGAGTAGATCGTCTCCAGATGCGGCGGCGAATGCTACACGCGAAGCGGTGCCGACTTTGGAACACTGGTTGGCTACGTTGAGTGTTACGTATGACGGTTTGGTCAAGGAAGGGGGAGAGAGTGTTTGAATCGAACATATTTTGGCGGATATCGGAAGTTTTGGAAAAGAGTAGTTATTGGAACGAGAAAGCAACAGATTTCAATGAATTCAACGATAATTCTTAGGTAGTTTCTCTAAGAGCTAATATTACCCATCTACTTTTGGGATATTCTCTTTGGGGATGTTCCATCTGTCTGGGAAGGAGCGTTGATTTATGCCCAACTTTCCGCCCTCGATCTTGCCTAGGTACTTGGGTACATGCCAGGTGCCCCGATCCCAATGGGGCCTCGTTAAGGCCGCCCTTTTCCCAATGAGTTTACACAGTATGGCGAGAGTCAAAGAGAACATAAGAGATGAGCTTTCCACACCTTTGAACCCGAAAAATTGCCCGGGTATATCCTACCTCTCATCACGGCGCCGGCTTTCCCGATGACCGCTGCATATGGCCATTTCTCTTCCAATAGAACCCTAATATGCATGTCTAATTCCTCCCACAAGCCCCCTCATACGGTCTCAAGAGTTGGCGAGGCTTTTCCTCGGATTCATCATCGATAGAGGACGATTGTTTTGGTCCAGCAGAACGTATAAAAACCAGGACTTGTTCCTAAATATGAAAGGCAGCGAGAATTTGGAAAGTGCGGGGGAAAGTCCCTGCTGCTGCTTAATTCACCGTTCAAAAAGTGCTGACGCAAATAAGGAAGCTTTGAGATAAGCGCCGGCCCGCAGTGGAATCACTGCATTTCTGTATTTCTGGTGGTCTGCTGTTTGGCAATGTTTCTCCCAAGGCAACCGTGAATTAACTGCCTAACAACCCAGAGATCCGGCACAAAAAGGCAGCGGGCCGCAGCCATACGTTTGAGCGACTCGCAATTGGGCACTCCATCCTTCATATCGGTTTGAACTAGACTTTCTTACGGCGGTTCGACCACGGTTCGCCAGAGGAGCAAAACTTCGGGATGGTAACCGGTCCAACGGCTCGCCTCAATACCGGTTCCTTGGTTAACTGACTCTATTGACAGGAACAGGGCGCCGCCAAAGCCCAACGTTGTAATCTACGTCCGGCCGACGTGGGCCGCCGGCCGTCTCGACGTATCCCATTACCGCGGAGGGCAGCGCGAGAGAACACTGCTACCAGCGCGCATCACTACTTATTGGCGTGATCCAGGGCTCCCAGTGCGCCATCTCCGTAAGGAAGGATCTACTCCTTTTAGGAGTCTTTAGTCACGATCTAATAAATCATTGTGTGGAATGCATTTTAGCCAGAATTCCCGCCATGTACATGACACGGGGCGTTGATATGCGCCGCACGTTCGAACACGGAAACGGGTACCCAATGACATGGCCAGCGCTTAATCGTCCATATCACTCCGGCCAGGGACTTACCGGATCGACAAACTTTGAGCTTGTTTCCCGGCCGTCTTCCACATCCCGACCCGGCGCTTGTAACCCAGGTATGCGGCTGCCTTGGCAAACCCAAGCCTCATTGATACTCGGGTTCTCGAAGGTCTGCGTTTTTACAATGCCAACCCTGGTTGGTACCTCTGATCTTGGCGAAACATGAAGGGTTCCGCGCTGTGTGCCCCAAATGGGGGCACGCTTTTCACCCGCGTCATCCTCAGCGTAAACCAGGGCCATCCTAGAAAGTCAATTCTAGCCGAGGGAGATCAACGGATCGACTCGAGGCTGCTCCGATGCAGTTCATCACACTGAGGCACAAAGCCCGTCTGCATCCGAGCATGATCTCGCTTACTTGATCACAGGGGAGGTTCCCTCCCCCTGAGCCTCCGCCTGACTGACGATCACCGGAAGCCAGGGAAGAGCAATTACAGCTGCAGGCCTATCCATTCTGGCTCGCAATGGGAGACATGTCATACTGAGGCCGCGTGGCCATGGGTAAGAGGACTGCCTCCGCTTCTCGACGGGCCCACGGGGAGAGAAGACGATAAAGCTCCTGCTGTTCTCCCATTCTCCGGTGCACCGGCGACTAGAGGTCGACCTTCTCCTAGTACTGATATCCCCGCAGCGAATGACAATGAAACCCACAACAGCACCAAGGCGTGTTCTGCTTCTGACTAATTCGGAGCATGGCCAAGCCAGCGTTTTCCTCGCAACTAGCTACGCTCTGCTCACGTTCGAGGATGAAGACGTTGAAGTTCACTTCGCCTCGTTCGACCCCATCAAGTCCTTTGTCTCGAGCACCTCAGACCATGCCCAACAAGACAAACCTGGGGCACGGCCCATCTTATTCCACACCATCGACGGTGTGGATATGGTGTCGGCTTGGACACGTCCCGAGATCACAGCAGAGCAGGAAGCCTTGAAGAACCGCAGCATGATACCCCTCCTCCACGTCATTAGACGGACGTTAGTGCTCCTCAAAGTCACACTCCCCTGGACGGGACCGGAATTTGTTCAGATTATGCACTCCGTTGCCAACATCGTCCGAGACGTGGAACCGGATATCATTGCCGTCGACCCGTGCTTCTCCCCGGCCCTCACCGTCCTCCGGCACATCAGAGCTAAGTTCATCATTCTCTCGCCAAACACAATCAAGGACTTTGCCATTCCTGTCCAACCCAACGCCGAAGCACTCTGGAAGTATCCCAGGTGCGTCCCACCAACCCCCTTCCCCCCTTCCCCTCCCACCCTCACACCACCACACTACCACTAACACCCCTTTTTTTTTCTTCCTTCCCCCAGCCTCGGGAACATACTACCCTTACCCCCCTCCCCCTTCCACGCCATTCCCCACAACACGCTCCTCATCATCTCTCCTCATAATCACCAATCTTCGACCCGAGCGCGCGCCCTCGCCCACTAACCTCGGCCACCCACTAACAACCCCGGCACCCGGC